GTCAATTTGGAGATGATGTTCCTGAATTGAAAGCTTTCGTAGTTAAAATTCTTAGTCTAACATGTTCGGCATCTGCATGCGAGCGTAATTGAAGCATCTTCAAACAAATTCATACTAAGAGAAGAAATTGATTAGCAACAAATCGAATGAACAAACTAGTTTATGTTATGTTTAACAAAAAACTGAAAGATAGATATCTCAAATTACATAAACAATGAAGCATTGATAATGAAATTGACCCTTTACTTGTTGATGATTTACAATCTGATGATGAATGAGTTACTTCTAAAAATGTTGATGTTTCTGAAATTGAAGCAGAAGTAAAAACTCATGTCAATGAAGACAATAAAGCAACAAATCATATATATATAAGAAAGAAACAAAGTGAGTAGAAAAAATTCAAAGGTATTCTTAAATATAATAAATTATTTTTTATGTTATTATTGTTTTCATTCTAAAGCTAATGAAATATTAACTGATGTAGCGGATAAAGGAAAAAATATTATAGATGAAAAAGAGTTTGCGGATGACTTTGACATTAATTATGAAGATTCTTCTGAAGAAAATCAAAGTGATGATGAGCCTACATTGGGTCTTGATCCTAAAGAGATGTTTTATTTTTAAGTGAGTTTATTTTAAATCTTCTTTTTCAGTAATATACTAATATTATCTTAGAAAAAACCATCAAATTCACAATTGACATAATATTTTGTTATTTTTTGTTATTATTCCTAATTTTAAATTACTTTATTTTTATCATTTTTTAGGCTTACGCCTCGAGGCTTATGCCTCACCTCGCTTAGCCAAAACGTCTCAATTACCGATTTCGCCTTTTAAAATGTTGCTTATGAGTATACCCCACATGATTAATTCATTTTTTGCATCATATCATATCCCTTATTGTCCAAGTTCAATTTCCACATGATGTCGTTGAGTTCAAGTTCAAGTCTTTTGCAGCTTATTTGGGTCCCATGTCACTATTTAATTGAGTTCAAATTCATGCTCAGATTAAGCTCATTGTAATCTGTTTGAGTTTGAGTCCAACTTGAGTTCATATTCAAGTTAAAGACCAAGTCTTTCATAGTCAAGTTGCAAGTCTTCTTGTCACTTTAAGCTCAATTCCTTCAGTCCAGTTCATGTTCATGCTCATGTTCATTGTAGTCTTGTTTAGTTCAGGTCCATTTTAATCAATTTTGAATTAAGTCTTAATTAAGCCTTTTATTTAAATTTGCATTTAGTACATTAATGTCCAATTCAAGTCCCCTACTGTCCAGATATTGTTCAAGTCCTCTACATTTCAAATGTAATTTCAACAGTCTCCCAACGTCTCCCCTGTTTAGTGGAAATTTCAAGAGTCTAGGCCTCCCTCCACGCTAGAAAAAAGTGTGCACAGGCGGTATTGTATAACACTAAGGCCAAAAACTTCAATCCCACCATGCTAGAGAAAGGCGTGCATGAGTCTTCGAGCACCTGTTTAAAATTAGACAGTTTTTATATTCATCTCTGACTCATTGTAGGCGTCGCATCGTGTTCCCTTTCCACTATGCTAGAGAAAAGCGTGCATGGGATGGTTTTCCGACACACTGCTAATGCTAAAAACGGGGATTTACCCGCCTCTTCGTAGGCGTAGCATCGGGGCCCCTTCCCACCACTCTAGAGAAAAACATGCACGAGTAGGTTTTCCGGCTCGACACGAACGTTGAATAGGGGTTTTAAGTTTAGGGAGTTATATCTTGGCAACCAGTGGTGACGAATACAAAAATCCTTTTTTTATTTTCCCTTCTTTTTTTTTTGACTCTATACTTTTTGTGTACGTTTATCTCTGTTTTTTTCGGAGACTTTTCTTTTTCTTTTTTGCATATATATATATATAATAACAATAACAATGTATAATAATAATTAATATATAAAATATACTAAATATAACAATAGTAATTAATATACTAAATATAATAATAATAACATTTAATATATAGTAATTAATAAATACAAAAAAAAATCTATACCTAATGGTTGTATAAGAGGCAGCTTGGAGCAAGTCTTGTGGAGTTGGATGAAGCCTCAGATGGTTCTCGGCAAGAGGAGGCACAGGAGTTCGGCTTGGATAAGGTTGGAGTCGGGTTCTCAGCAGGTAAAGAGGGCGACGGGATCAAGTGGTCGGCACTAGGGATCGTTTTTGGCAACGAGTAAGAGCAGGAGGCCGTGAGGTGGAGTGTAGAGGTCGGCTAAGGGTAGATCTAAAGGTTGGATGAGGCTCGGATGGGGCTATCTATGACTTGAGGTTTGGGGTCGGACGGATGGGCCTTGCTTCCGTATGAACCTTGCGTGAAGTGGAGGTCGGCTTGAGGTAGGGCACATTAGAGGCGACGGGATCTCTACGACTATGGAGAGAGGAGTTCGGTTTAAGTGAGGGCTTGCGGCAGGTCTTGTGGAGGAAAAAGCTTACGATAGATCTAGAGTAGGTCTGTTATACCTCTCTCTCTCTCTCTCTCTCTCTCTCTCTCTCTCTCTCTCGTTCTTTGCACAGAGGTCAACAACTTTATTCCGAGTATTTTGACAATAATAAATTGATTTTTCCTACATAAATTTTTTTGGTACATGAAATGATTGAGGCTTTTCTAGTATTTGTATTACTATATAAAAGCCTTTAAATATTAATTGGAATATCCCTATGAAGTTAGAATTAAAACAAAAAAAGTTTGAGTATAATGGTATACATGAAATGTAGCTTCTACTGATAGTTATGGCAATTTATGCATCATCATCTAAGTAATGTATTAAAATCATAATTATTTACTATTGCATTTACATGTGCATAATTCACAGCATGACATTAGAGAATTTCTGATATGTGAAAAGTGTACTCTTTGAAATACTACAAGGGTTCAATATACTTTGTTTTGACCCAATCTACCTTGTGTGAATGTAGAGGGATTCTATCTCCACTTGCTAAAAACAGGCATGGGAGATTATGTTGTAATGTACTATTCTGATTCTAGCCTCGTTATATACTGGTGTGGAAGGTTAAAAGGAGTTATAAATAGAAGTGGAGCTATACACAGACATCATGACATGTACATTATAATCATGTATTACATATTCTGATAATTTAATGAATCAAGTATAAGTAATATTCTAAGATGAATTTCAACGATTTCTACCTCTGTATAAACAAATGATGAAATAGGAAAGTCAAGTGAAAGTGAAACTCTAAAGACAAATGTTCTATAACATCTAAAATCTTTGTGAAAGTAGTCATAAAAGCACGAGTAATAACTTTGAAACCAAGTACACTCTGATAACTCTAAGAAATCATATTATGCAGTACTTTACTTTTCTCTATTGATTATTGAGTATTCTATTAAATTATTATTTAATATTTTAATTGGATATTGATATATATAATGGAGTAGGGGAAGAAGTCTACTGAGCTGGTTGTATTCATTTTATAATATTTTCTGACATTTTAAGAAAAGAAAAGGGCCCAGCAAAGTAAAGAAAATAAAGTTAAGCTTCATTTGGATCAAGTTAATCAAGGTATCATTTTGTAATCCAGTTTTAATTATTTTGGTGTATAAATTACTATTGAGCTGGATTATTATACATTTGTATTTGATGAGATGAAATAAAATATTATTAAATAGTTTTATTATATGAATTACATAGTAGCTTTGGTTGACTATGTTTGTGGTTGAGTTAAATCGAAAGATTTGATTTTCAATCCTTCCATTAGATACTAGGACATCACATTAAAGATCAATGACAACCTTAGATGACAAAACCATGAAATTTTGATCATGTTTTGTCATCATTCCTCTCATCATCCATTTTAAGTGCAAGGTGATAAATTTCTAAGTATAAACTATCTAAAATTGCTGCTACAACACACCAAGTACTAAGTGTCTATTTAATGACTAATTTTAATTAAAAGTACTCTCTATTCACCGGGAGAGATAATTAATCATAAGGACTTGCGACTATAGAAAACCTGAACTCAAATCTTAAAGACCTCGTTAATGAGAGCGGAATATTTGGGTAGTGTCTTATCTCTAACCAAACTACCTTTCAAGAATTTTTTCCAAAACATAATCCATTAAAACTTCCCCAAATCACGAGAAAGATTGTGGCCCAAAAAGTAAAATTTTCAAAGCCCACAATGATCCATACTTAGTTTTCAAGATTGGTGACTATTAATTTAAGATTCATTCATACGTAATTTTTCAAGATGATGACTGCCTAACTTATACTTCATTTACATTTAATACTTCACACATATTACCACATATTGCAACTATAAAAAAAGAAAGAAATCAATAGTTGCAAGTACTCTGCAACCGTAAGTGAATAAATAAAAAGAGAGGAAGAACCACTTGCAACAAGAAAAGAAGAGAGAAGGTAAAACAACATCAACATATTATTCCCTAAGTTCAACCACCTCGAATTCATAACACATGATTATAATATCTATCAGTTGTTAACACAGACAAAGTGGTATCTTTGTTTTTATTCCTATGAAGTGTAATCTCTCCATCCACAACTTTTGTAACTTTGTAGAATATTTGATTTATGTGTAACCATAAAAATAGTGGATCTTATCGCATCACCTACACTTCTGCGCCTTGTGTTTGAATACTTTCTCTTACCTTCATTTAAATTTGCTCTAAATTTTATAATTATCCTAATAATATAGTATAGTAGTATAATAAATATAAAGAACATATAATTAAACTAAAATTTTCTTGAAATTACCATATTCTAAAAATTTTAGTCGTAAAAAAGCTCTTCACTACAAAAATAACAAGAAAACTGTAGTAGCAGTGTTGTATCAGTATTAATCCGTAACATAAAACTGTAAAATTTTTTATCAAAAGCATCCTAAATCATATTTTGTGGGAACAAAAAGGACTGTATGCTGTTCTGTATAAGTTGTTTATAACATCCTTAAGGAAATAAAACCATCAAAAAATGAGGAAATAAGGGCTTCAAAAATAGAAACTCACCGTCTGAGTTGCAAGAGCATGAGCAAGGTCTCTTGGAAGACCAGCAGCTACACCGCCATCAGCCAAAGCTTCTATTGCAATATATACATAGGCTGGGCCGCTGCCACTGCAGATTAATAAGGGAAAATAAAAGATAAAAATAGCAAAATTCTGAAGTCAATGAACCAACAACTTAGTAATATACCTTAGGCCAGTTACAGCATCAAAGTATTTTTCATCGGCCATCCATATCTTTCCAATCGCTTTAAATAAACTAGCTACTCGTTCCTCATCTTTCTTTGTTGCCATATCTCCCATGCACATGACTAAATTAAAAAAAAAAAGCATTAGAGCCAGCGAAGCCTTTTTTTTTTTTAATGCAGTTCTTGTAGAGACAAGGAGATTTACACGTCTGTTTCAGAAAATGATTAACTTAAAGAGTATATAAGTCACAATCCAACATAAACAAGCATCAAGGAAAAACTGATTTTTACATACCTTATGACCACTGGATAACGTAACAAAAAAAAAAAGCAAACAAAGTTAAAAAAGTGTCATTTTTCTAGGTAAAACTTACAGAAGAAATTTCTTCACCTCCATTTGGCGTGGTTGCCTTTTTTCTTGGAAAAGTAGCTATATAGAGTTTTATAGGAAAAATAAATTATTATAAGCTGCTGTAGGTACAAAAAAGATCTGTTTTCTGTTTGAAAAAATTGGAAAATAACTTTCTTATATTTAACACATCCTAATATATCTGGTTATACAAAACTACTTCTTACCGTAAGCATTTCTTAACAAACAATAAAAATTTGAAACCAAACAGAATTATTATAGCGTTTGGAAAACAAAGTTGCATTTTCAGGACAATGCATAAAATAAAATAGATGTGAAGAAAATGATGAAAATGGTCCTTCAACTCTTTGTAAGGGACCAAAATGGTCCCTAACTCTTTTGTGGGACCAATTTGGTCCTCTCAACTTTTTTAAAACGAGACTTTTTTTTCCTAATATTAAATTTTGGGATTAATGGTATTAAATCAAAAGATATTTTAATCATGTTTTAATTAAATTATTTATTAAATATAACTTTCAAGTAATAGTAATTTTTTTAAAAAAAATTATTGAACATTTCTTTAACAAAAAAAAATATAATAATAATTCTAGTTTTAATTTCAAAATTTATTAATAATTCAAGTTTTAATTTAGGATCATTATAGATTAGAATTATTAATAATTGATCTCTCAAAAGAGTTTTGGTACATTTAGATCCCTCAACTCATTTTGACCCCTCACAAAGAGTTTAGATATCATTTTTATCCTTTCCTCAATAGATGCATAAACAATGCAACTTACATCACTTTCCCATTAGCTGTACGCACATTCAAAAGTCCCATAACAAAGTTATTGTTTTGAAGGGAGTTAATAAGTTACTGAATTTTAATTTCATTACAAGACAACTCTCTTCTCGTTCAATTTTGTGAGGGACTACTTTTGATAACCAAGTGGTAGCCATGCTGACATGCATTTAATAGAATGCCCAATTTTACTAAACATTTATGGGTCATTGCTAACTCCAACACCTCCCAACTTTTCAACCCTGAATTTTTCTCTATACTTTAAATATTTCATGCATTGGTACATAGTTGATAGAACAAGGCCATACTCATGGAGCTATAGTCTACCCAAAAGTGCCTTGAATGAAGTGTTTGTATCAACAATATGAAATTAGGCTTTTGTATAAAATTTTCAAAACTCAAGGGGGAGAATGAATGACCCTATAGTTCTTTATCCTTTTTAGTTAAAGCTGTCCACCATAAGTTTATATGGTCCAAGATGTTGAATATCTACAGATAATGATCTTAATGTGCGCAAGCTCATAAGATTTATCGAAGAGCCGTGCTCAATCAAGATTCGAATTATTATGATACCATCACTTTTTTTTTAGAGACATGTAGAGGACGATTATGCTCTATAGTTTTCAACATGAGATCTTCTCAAAGAACGTAACAATTGGTTCATTTTGGGCATGCAGAATCTTAGTCTTACAACGTTCAGCAAAATATGCTTCATACCTTTTGGGATCTTTGAGAGCCTTAACCCAAGTCTCCTGGGGTCTTCTAACATTACATGAGCTTCATAAACGCTGAGTTGTGCTGGAATCTTTTTTAAAAGGAATATGATATTAAATTCTATTCCTTTATTTATAGTATATTTCTTCTTAGGATCCTTAGGGATGATTTCTTCATTGATGACTATATATTTTCCTTTATCTTCACTTGATAACTCTTTTTTTGGTAGAGGTGATATCAATTTATCACTTCTTAACTACACTTGAACCACTTCATTCGACTTAGTCTCATTTGATGAAATATCTTCTTTAGAATTAATCATCCTTGCTTTAGATGATTATGTTGCATGTTCGGAGTAGTCATTCAATCTTGCACGCTCTACTTGTGAAGCTATTTGTTAAGCTAACTCATCATCACTTGGAAAGCATAACTCTTCTTCTAAGTTATTATCTGTCTGTAATGCCATCAGATAGAACTCAAATGTTGTTTCATCATGATACCCACTTTTTATCGATCTAACATTGTTAGAGTCATCTCTTTTATTCATTTATGTTGGAGCTATTGCCATCTGACTCATATTGTGAACTTTAAAAGTTCCTTGATGCACACTGGATGGCACTGATTTGATAGTTTATTATTTCAAGAATGTTTTTTAGGTTGAATTAAATAAATGTTAGATTGAACTAAAAGAATGTAACTAGTTAGATAGAGTAATAAATAAAGCAATCTCAGTCTGAAAAAGGACAGCGAGGCAAAATTTACCTTTTTTTCCCCTTCTGTCTAACTTTCTATTTCAATTCAAGAGTATGCACAAACTCAAATCATTCCTGAGGTGGCTAGGTCATGATCACAACCATATGCATAGAACCAGAGTATAAACCATAGAGAATTGTGACAACGAAGATCTAATAACAACTCAATTGAAGGCAAAAACATCGAAGCAATGGTTAAGCTAGATAACCATAGCCAAAAGAAACCAAACCAATTTATGGAATCAAATCAAATAAAAAGAGAGAGGTCAGAAGATTGGAGAACACAACCCATTTCCTTAGGAATCATCATAAAGCATGATTATTATTGGTACCTTAATACAGTACTTGCAAACAAAAAGTACACATTTTAAACGTTACATAGACAATACAAAATGCTATAAGAAAAACATATATGCATAAATGGAGAGGCCACAAATACTTAGGTATGTCAATTTTCACGCAAGTGCATCAACCAACATATCATCTAGAGCATTCAGTTCAAAAACACATAATGATGGCTTGGTTGATAATAAGGCTTACAAGCTGAGAACCCCAGTTTGATTTTGCTACATCCCAAATGATCCAAGAGTCTTGGTGAATCATCGCCATTAGGCTACCTTGCCCACAATGCGAGGCTAACAGAACAATTGCATTGACTCATATTCAAGTATCATCCAAATTCAAGAAAACACTTGCATCGGATTGCTCCTAACTCCAGGATGACTAGTCCTAACCCATTTGATAATTTCAACTAACAGAGTTCTTACTTTGATACTTCTATTAAAGTTTATAATGGCTATTCAAAGCAACTCAATATCAAGCAGTCCAATCAATTTAAGCCTTATTTCATCACAATTCATCAGACCAGAGTAGAGCTATGATGGACCGGACCGGCCGGTCCATCCTGCATCCGCACCGGCCCACAAGGGGCCGGTTCTCGCCTGTTACAGGCGGAGAAATCGCCCGCCTGGGCGTTCGACCGAAGGAGAGGGAGGAGGCGGGTGGGCCCAAGGGGCCCACAATTATTGAAGTGTTTGTGAGTGTTTTCATCCAAGAAATTTCGCATTTTTCCACCGTTTTTAGGCTGTTTTTCCTGGATTCCGAAAATTACAAACTAAGCTCCATCAAGCTATCAAACCAATCAAATGAAAGAAATTAAGCATGCAAACCACCTTGTATATAGGGTGAGGTCATGACATGCACCCAATTTTTGCTTAGGAAATTATAATTGAAGTATCATAAGTATCTTACATTTTTTTGTAGAGATTTGTTGTTTTTATATGAGATAAGAGCATATTATAAGTCACATTCCTTGGCATGGTGAAAGCTACATTTGCAAGCCCCGACCATTTAGGCACCTTGCAAATCAAGCGATAAACCTCATCCCAATTAAATTATGGTCTTTCAATAAATGCAAGCCTCAAAATCAACTACACTCAAATAAGCTCACATGCTAATAAGCCCACCAATTAAATCCAAAATATATGCATTTACCTCAATCTGCATTGGATACTTGAGAGAAGACAACCCATGATTGTTAATCATTTTTCCTAAATGTTCGTCTTTCGCCCTTCAGCATTGGTAGACTATGACCGTTAGTATTCCCATAATGATGGGAACCATATGATCTTGACCAAATCTACTTCCATTCCCCCATCAATTACCAAATCTACTTCCATTCCCCCATCAATTTAATTGAAACCCAGATGATAGAACGAGCATTAAAATCATAAATTTGTAACATCTTTAAATCAAGTTCTCTTGCATGCAGGAGAGAAGCTGGTACTGCTGAGGGTTTGCCTCCATAGGTAGTTTCTACCCTAGATTTAAATAAACTATGATCAAAATATCATGTAAAATCTGATTAAACAAAACCTAATCAACCAAATGGAAAAAAATAATGCCTAGTTTCGAAGACAATGTTGGTACTTTTCCTAAGCAATCAATTATACCTACATAAATAAAATAAGAAGACAATAAAAATGAGATCAAGTAAAATTAAAACCCATAATATTAATTTCCATCACATCAATATACCGATTCTACAAGCAATATCCTTTGCAAACTGCACTGCAGTAAGCCAGCATACATGAAGCCACTGCATTATAAAATCTCAGGTAGAAAACCAAGACTATCCATACTCAAGAGTACTTTCCTGTGATTAGGATGCATAATTAACTATGAGTACTTGCACCTATAGGAAGCCTCAAACTAAAAATATAAAGTCCTCAAAAGAGGGTGAAAAATCTATGGGCAATGCTTTCTCAACAACTTAATCTGCCTCTTGAAAAATTACGCTAGTTAAATCTTGAATTTGGCACCAAGTGAGTCTTTAACACCAATAACAATTATCACTAATCTTTTGGATATCCAAGATCAAATTGTTTTTGTTGACCTGATTGACATGAACCGATAAATTTACCTGATGCCAATTTTATGACATGCTGCGGAGTGATAAAGCATAATTTACCTGATGCTGCCTCACCAACAGCCGAAGGTGTATTTGGCATCACTCTAATTATTCGACCATGGCCAGACCATTCCTGCAGTACATACAGCAGCATTACTACAGCAGGGCACAAATATAATATATGGGGCAGCAAAATTAAATGATATGAATGCAAAAAAATTATATTATGCGTAGTATGCTTAGAGCTAGAGCTGGGCGAAGGAATAAAATCAAGATCCCAAAAATTCATGCAAAGAAATAATATCCAGAACCTGTTTACACATGAAAAGCATAATATATTAGGACACTATGGATTTAAAATATAATTGTATATATCAAAATATGAAGATTATTTATATAGATAAAAGATATTTTCATGTTGAGGTGCATACTAGTTCCCTTATTTTCTTCCTTAATCAGACTATATGTAGTCTCGTATCAAATACAATGACAAATAAGAAAAATTCCTCATACTCGTATTTGAGCTTTAGGATGTTTTTTTTCCTAATTATTTGACAAATAAGAAAAATTCCTCATACTCGTATTTGAGCTTTAGGATGTTTTTTTCCTAATTATCTGCATCTAATAGCAGGCATTATCGCTGCATATGCTCCTGCAAAAGCAGCTTTCAACTCTAGCTATAAAATGTAACCTTCATAGATGTTGAGCTTTCACTGTTTTCAGATGCAGACCATATTTTTGCAATTTCTTTCCCATTTTCATCAATCGCAGATTTCTTTGTTGTTTTCTATCCACCATTAGTTGCTGCAACCAAAGATCTTACCCAAAACCACCGCAACCTTCCCCTACTCCAGCCCTCGCTCTCTCCAATAACAATTTTTTTCAAAACCCATAAAAACCTTTTCTCTCCAATATGTTACAGCCTTGTAAGTCCAAATTGTTTCATCATCACCCTCTCTTTTATCATATATACCACTAAAATGGGAAACTGTGGAGGCTAATAAAGGTCTCAATCTCAGGTTCATCTGACAAAGCAAACCAACCATAATAAAGTATAGGGGAAAATAGAACTCAATGGCGCAGAGATTCAAAAACTCAAATAGGACCACTTCAGAAGTAACCTTCTAGTGCATGCTCATCAGCATTCCCAGGCAAATCTCCATTTCCTCTCGAATTACATGGATCAAAAAAAGTGATTGACCAATTCATAGATAGTAGGCCGAGGGGCAGAATATAAAATGACTCACACCTCTTAATATTTCAACTCTCATACCCCATGCCTAAGTAATAAGAAAATTATTATTACAAAATCTCTCTTATTGTTGTTGAAGGGCTAGGAGCTATGATGCACAAACAGGGACACGACAACACGGATACGACACGACACGGACATAAGACACGTCAATTATTGAAAATATAGGACACAGATACGGGTTGGACACGATAGTATAATTTTATATTAAAAAATAGTATGTAAAAATGAATAAGTATACTATTAAAAATAATAAATCATTTAACTAGAATTTGTGCTTAAAATAATTAATATTAGGATGTCAAGTGTCGGGAGTCGATGTCGTGTATCAAGCATTGAAAGAGGAGATGACAATGTTGAAATTAAATTGAAATTTCATCAAATTAATTTTAATTTAATTAAATTCAATCCAATAATTAAATCAATTCAAATCGAACTCATTCGAGCCTCTTTGAACCAAATTCGACTCAATTCGACGTCGATTTGAGCCCAATTTCACAAAATTGGCTCTATCTGACCCATTTCGACTCGAATCGACCCTAATCGATTCAAATTGGGTCCAATTCGGACCCAATTTTTGTAAAACCCGAAAACGACGATCGTAGGTCGTCGCACGCATTTCGATGCATCACGATGAGACTTAAGTGAAAAATTCAAAGCTAATGAAATTTGACAAAAATAATTTCATAAAATTCTACATAAAATTCTGATCATTTTGATATATAGAACTTGTATCCAATTTAGCCTAAATATGGAGTTAAAAATTGTAGAAGTTTCTAAATGCCCAAACTACCCTCGGTTAATAGTAAAGCCGGAATTACTTAAGTGAGGGAAATTAGGTCTTTTTGGCAAACCCTATCTCCTAATATAGCAAAAGTGAGCCCTTCCCCTCTCATTTTCACGCACGGTTCAGCCAAACAAGGAGAAGACGGACAGGACAGACGACACGGGCTCGGCAGGCTCCTCTCCAGCGACAATTTTCCTGCGAAGAATTTAGTGCAAATCGAAGAGGGAGATGAGGGGAATCTTAAGGTACAATTGTTTTAAATCAAATCCCTCTCAATCTCAAATCATTTGGAAAAGAAATTTTTAGGGTTTTTATAGTTTCCCTTTTTCTTCCAAAATTTCTTTACGGAATCAATAGGGAAGATTTAGGGGAGCAATTTAACGGTAGAAATATAAATTTAGGGCTTTTACCTAAAATCAAATTTTCTTAACGTGCTTTTACAAAAGTTGTTTCTAAGGGCCCTAGAAATGTTTTTAAATCAAAAATTTGAATTTTTAATAAAAATTTCATTTTTTATAATTTTCCTAAAATGTTCAAGTTGATTAAACAAATTTAAGACATAAGAGATACGAAGTTTTCTTTACCCGAAAAATATTGAAGATCATATGATGTATTGAAAAATTTATAATCCCTTGATGAATATAAGTATTATAAAGTGCATGTGTATGTTGATCCGGAAGTGCCAAAATGGTAATAGGGTTTTACGGAGCCAAATGGTAAAGGGGCTTGCAAAAGTCAAATGGTAATGAGGTTCTTCGGAGCCAAATGGTAAAGGAAATGGCCAAATGACTATGTATTTGATCAGTACAAAACTCTGGTACTTCCGAAACGGGTGTTTATCATATTATGATTATGAAATTTAAGCATTTAATGAAAGGATTTAAGGAAAAATAAAGTTTATGAAAAAGAAAGAAAGAAGGATTTAAAGAAATATTTTAAGCAATGATTATGAAAATGTTTTATGAAATCATACATATAAATGTTTATTATGATCCTTTATTGTTTCATTTTGATGTTTAATAACATGTTTAAGAAAAGAAAAAATATATTTCATAAATTTAAGATAAATATTTTTCTTCTGCTAAGCGTTGACTCATCCTATTATTGGAAATATTTTTTAGGAGATATTGTTACGAAGTGATGGCTACGAGACGACAGTATACCTACCGTCGTAGAGGACCTCAGGAAGAAAGGTTTTTATGTTTTATGTAATTGTTGAGTTAGTGGTTTGTATCTGAACAGTTTATTGGAGTTTATATAATTATGGATGTTTATGTTTTTAGTTGTGTGAGAAGAAACAAACTTGGAATACTTTAATTTGATATTTTTAGTGGCACTTTCATATTAATGGATGATGTTTATGTTTTGTTATAAAAATTTAAATGAAATTGATTAAGGTTTACACGTGTTTTCAGTACGACCGACTGTTCCTGCCCCATTATTTTTGGGCTAACCGGGTTGGGTCGTGATAAGAGTGGTATCAGAGCAAAGGTTTAATAATAATCAATGAAAGAGCCTATAGGAGAATTGTATGAGTCTTAGAATGTATATGAAGTATGAAATTTATGAATTATTCGTCTTATGATTGTTATGTTTTATCTCAGGACTATGGATCCTGAGCAGAATGCCACTGATGGCATTGATGTGGAGGAAGGGAGGGAGCTACCAGCTGTAACATAACCTCAGAGGAATAATGATAGTTCAACTATGGAGTCATTCGCTTAGATGATGGAAGCAATGACTCAGATGATAAAGACCTCCCAAGCTCAGAGCAGTAGCAGTGGAAGTCGATCTATGAACAAGACCTTGAAACTATTTCAAAATATAAAGCCTTTGTTATTTTCAAGTGGCGGACCTATAGAGGCTGAAGACTGGCTGATGCGGATAGAGAAGAACTTGGAGGGCATGTCTTGCCCAGAGGATAGGAGAGTGACACTGGTTGCTTATGTCTTTGATGACGAGGCAGAAAGGTGATGAAGGAGTCAATTGTAAGAGACCTTTGAGGTAAGACCAAGCAGCCAAGTTATTTGGGAGGAATTTGTAAATGTATTCAGAGGCTAGTATGTACCTATATCGGCCAGGAGATAGATACAGGACATGTTTAAAAGATAGGTTCACGAAGATCGATTTGTGATTTATTTCTCAGTATGAGGCAGAGTTCACAATATTGTCCAAGTATGCCCCACACTTTATACTCAATGCTGAAGAAAAGTGTCACCGCTTCCTGGATGGATTAAAGGACATAATAAGGCAGCCTCTCATTCCTTTTGGAATAGAAGTTTATTTTATTTTGATGTAAAGAGCTAGAAAGATTGAGATTGATTTGCAGGCAACACAGAAGAGGGGATTTTCAGAAAAAGAAGATGGAGAGCAGGTCAAAGCCCTCCTATTTTGCTCAGTCTTCTCAATCTAGAATATCTACTTGGAAGAAGCCCAAATCCAGCAACTCTGACAGCAATGCTTCAACTGCTTCTTTATGCAGCAAGTGTGGGAGAATGTATAAAAGAAAGTGCCTTTCTACCACTAATACTTGTTACTGGTGTCATCAGCCTAGGCATATGGCGAAATCTTACCCTCTTTTGGGTCAGAGATCTACTATAGAGGTCAGGTCATGCAACAATATTCAAAGGACAGCTGGTAGACTAAGAGCTATCGAATCTACAGCTTCTGTGTCTTCTCAAGGTCAGACTCATCAGAATGTTCAGCCTCGAGTCTATGGGTTGTCCCAACAAGAAGTTAAGGGGTCTTCTGATGTGGTTACAAGTACACAATTTAATTAAATGTCAATGAAAGCTTTTATATGAAATGAATGAACAATGAATGATATATTTTATAAATAAATATTGTGACCTGTTTATGATTAGGGACAATCCTTATGTATGATAGACATGTTAGAATTCTGTTTGATACTAGAGCGTCACATTCCTTCATTTCTGAGAGTTTTGTTAGATCAATTGATTTGCTTCCAACAGTTATGATTAAATCACTGTCAGTTTTAATGCCTAATGAAAATCATATGGAAGCTAAGCAGAAATGTCATGTGGGATTGAGGATTTGTGATAAGAACTTAGAGGCGGATCTGATTGTATTACCT